GCTCTGCTCTCGCCCCACCTTCCCTCACTTCCCTCACTTCCCACCAGTGGACTGTGCCCTTTCAGATGCCAGTTCGCAGGTGGGTGAGTGTATGTTCCAGGGCCCCGTGGGCCTCTCCCAGACTCTCCCGTGGGGCTGGGAGTTTCTCCCGCCGTCACAACCCCCACAGATTTTTACAACCAGAGATTTTGAGTCTTTAGTTTCCTGTACTGCAGCCCTGGGTTCCGCGGTCTCACTCCCCAGTTGTTCTTCCAGGCTTATGATCATGCAAACGTGGGACCTGCTGGTCCACCACCGTGCCATGCGGGTCCTCTCTGTCCACCCCGCTGCCCGTCACCACCCCACCTACCAGTCTGGATGAATGTTTCTATAACTCCTTGGTTGTTAGACTTCCATGCGGTTTGAATTTCTGGCAGTTGGGTGTTCTTTTTGCTTTTAAATTGGTCGTTATCTTTCTTTTGGTTGTGCAAGGAAGCAAACTGTTTCTGCCTATGCCTCCGTCTTGGTCAGACTCCTACAGTTACTAAAATTGAAAATGTTTTTCCCTCTATTTCCTCCCTTAATTAATTAGTATGCATTTTCACTCAGTCAATCTGGGGCCACATTTATGTGGCTACTGTCTGGGGCCCAGCGGCACAGGTGCTAATAATTTGAACTCGAAATTCAAATCACTACTGGGCACTTTCACTGCACCAAGTCTGCATTGAACCCACAGAACCAAATAGAAGTGACACACCGAGAAGACAAACATTTGTCCCACAACTTTAACGGAAATAGAAGACGTTAATGGAATGTGTTTGGTTTAACTTCTCCTTAAAAAGCATAATGAACTCTGAACTATGAAGGGTCAATGACATGTTATTACCAGAAAAGAGACAAATGAGCTGTGTCCGTGCTCCCTGAGTTCCAGGAGAGAAGGCTGGCCTTTGAAGCTCAGTGTCACAGCTCTGGCCCCACCCTGTCCCCAGAGTCCCAGTGACTGAATGGGACAGAGTGTTTGCTGAAGCTCAGCCGAACTCTGTCTGCAACAAGTTATTAAACTGCAGTTCCCCTTTTATGCAATGGGGACTCTGTCACTTGCCGAGAAACAGAGAAGGTTGTTCCGGGAAGGAGAGAGACTGTTAGTTTATTGCTGGACATATAGTGGACACTCGATAAGTTGCAGCTGTTACGGCTGATTCTGATCTTAGCTTTGAATCCAGATGTTGGTACAACACCAAGTCCCAGTGTCAAGGCCGTTTCTGACACAGGCACCACCCTAACAGTGCAGCCGTGCCCATGAACTCCGATGGGGACCACCGAGATCCTGCCTGCTTCCTTCATGAGCCGAATCCAAGCTGGAATTTCAGACGGGTGTAAGCAACAGGCCTCTCCCACAAGGGCCGGTCCTCAGGGGCATCTCCCACCCACTTCCCAGCCCTCTGTCACCCTCTAGTGACCGCTGTCAGCACAACCTCACCTGCTCCACCCTCCACTGAAGCTCCGGTGACCTGGGGTAGAACAGCCAGCAGGATGGAGAAGCCGCAGTGCAGTGAGTTACAGGCCACATTTTGAACATTAGCACAAATGTGAAAAAAATGTAATGCAGCTGTTGATGACTCCTAAACATCACAGGTATCAGAATACTGAAATGTGTGATCTCAACGTCAAAAAGAGAAAAGCTGGATTATAGAAGCTGGATTATGGTGCCCCGGTTTAAAAGAACGAAACAGAACTGTACTTGACTAGGGGATGGAGGCTGCTGAGCAGGTCATTTACGGGATCAGAGGTGCTTATCTACCACCTTAGATTCACCGAGAAGAACCACGCCCGAGTGCCTTCTGGCCTGCCCGCATCGGGGGAAGTTATCAGTATACTAGATTTCGGTTTCAGCAATGTTTTCAGAAAGGACAGCCCTTTAAAACAAAGAAAGAAGTCGGGCCGCAGGGTGAGTAAACCGGGACGAGCCGCTTGGTGAGGAAGCAGAGCTTCCTGTCACGCTTCGGAAGGCTTTGCTCTGGGTTAGTGCTGTCCCCTCGGCACCTTGACACATGGTGCAGACACCTATTTACCAAAATGCCCAGGGAGGAGCAATTAACACAGCGCATGACAAAATCAAGTACCTTCTAGGCTTTGAATCACAAATCAGACTGGAAACCTGGCGTAAGAAAAAACAATAACTTAGGGTCTGGCTGCTGGCACTCTGTCCACAGTGTGAGGAGCTGCCTTGGAGGGAAGTTTTGGGGTAGTGAAGAGGTCAGTCAGTCGGGCAGGTGAGAGCCTGTGAGGTCCGCACTGTGTCCAAGTGCCAGATCTTAACAGGGACGCGGCACACCGTGGTGCGTGCCCGGGGCAGCTCTGGGCACCACTGAGCATCGGTGTCAGCTGAGTGGCCAAGCCACGGTGGACACAGGACCTGTCTGCGCACATCTGGGGCTATCAGGCAGGAAGTCCACCAGACAAGCAGAGCCAGGCTAAGTTCAGACACGAGCCTGTGACTCGTACACTCTTCCCGTGCAAAACAGGCTGGTGAGATGCAGGGTCGCCCACCTCAGGAACCATGCGAGAAGCTGCAGGGCCGGGTGACCACTGCGCACCTCCCGGCTCTACTTTCCCAGGCTTCTTCTGCCCGTCTCCTCAGTCTTCGCCCTGTATAATTCTGTTCTCTTTCTGCTCGTTCACCTGTGGCTTCAACACAGAAACCTTCCCTCGTTTTTCGGATTCCTAGTCCCTTCCCCTGAGGGGAGGCACGAGGTGGTCCTGGAAGGAGGACACTGTGGACAGAACTGAGGGCCCCACAGCCACACTGTGCCCCCGCTGTGTGCCTAGAACAGCTACAGGGACGTCCCACTGCTGGGCTGGGAGGTGGATCGGTCAGACAGGGGCAGCCTCCTCCTGGCCACGGCAGAGAACAGCCACTTCAGCACAGGCCTCTCGAGTGGATCAGTGTCTTTGTATTCGGATTGCAGAACCCAGCAGAACTGATGTGCCTGCAGAACTGGTGGGCCTTTTGAGACAAGATCCGCGTGCCCTCCCCTCTGTATTTCTCCATCTCTCTCAGGGTCCATGTCACAGCCGTCGCCTGACATCACTCAGCAGAGTGATTCCGCATCCTGTGCCCTTTCCTTAGGGCCAAACCAAACCGCCTGCCGCTCCAGCACTCATCCGGCTGGTGCTCCATCCATCAGGGAAGCCACGGTGGGGCAGGTTGAGGGGCAGGAAGGGGGCGGAGGCAGCACAGACGTCCCCCCGCCCCCGTGACGGCGTCCTACACGTTGGCCCTGCGAGGATGAAACGGGGAAGGGCTTCCCTGTCCTTCCCGACAGCCCCGCAGGACAAACCGACGTTTTCTTGCAGCTGCTCACTTCCCCGTGGCCATGCCGCGCGCGTCCCCAGAGCGGTGGCTCTCGCAGTGTCTGCTAATCCCGAGAGAAGGGAAGAGGGCCGGGAGGACAGACAGCCCCACGCTGCTGCGCTCTCTCCTGCGGGCTGCCAGCCGGGACGGCAGCTCCCTGCCCCTCGTGGGGGGCGGGGGGAGGGAAGGAGCAGAGGCCGGCGAAGACCTCTTCACGCTCCACCTCCTCGTGCTCAGTGCCGCCACGCTAGCGTGTCCCCCCCACGGGGGGTCATGAGGAGGCCACAGAGAAGGAGAGGGACCCTTGCCCGGAGCCACGGGGAGGGCCATCAGCACTGGGCTGTGCACGCAGTCCTGTCTGCCTCTGCGCCAGACACGGCACCAATTTGTCAGGTACCTGAGAAAAACCAGTGGCTTTCCCCCGAGAATGTTTTGGATCCTGACCTGGATGAAACATAGTAACAGTAACGACACCTCCTGACCGGGTGCTAAAAGGGACCGTGAGGTGCTCGCTGCTGTGGGGACCTGGTACATCCCCGTGCCTGAGATAGCTGAGCGCTGACGGCTAAGTGACCAGCAGGGTGGGTGCCCCGGACACCCCCGCAGCCCCGCAGGAAGCACGGCTGGAAGGAGCTCACAGCTTTACTCTGCGGAATTTGATTCCAGTAATATTTTCACGTTTACCCTGACACAGTCTATAACCTTTCTTTTCTCAGTATTTCTGTATTTTCTAGTTAAAACGTCTTTTTGAACTTCCATGATAACCACAGAATCAACAGCTTTTAACATGTCATGAGCTAATAGGGCACATCCTGACCCAACCTGAAAATTCATACGCTTACGTGATAACCATTCTGTGGGAAAACAAACCCCAGACGAAATACCCCTGGGAAAAGAGCAACCCGGAAATCCACACCCACTTAATTTTAATTTAATGCAGGAAGTGGTACCAACTTTCTTCAACTATTTCGTGAGTGTCATTTTTTTAAGTAGACACTGTGGGAAACATTGAAGAACTCAGTGCCTGCTATTTTGGGGGAAATGTAACCCTTCCATGGCACAACATTTCCTCTAAAGTCGTTTTCCACACCACGCATCTGAAACGAATACAATACTGAATGTCAACGGCAACTGGAAATTTAAAAAGTTAAGACGATGTTTCCACAGTGATGTGAGTCAGAACCCTCCTCTTTCTCTGACAGACTGAACAGGTTGAGGACTAATTACAATATTTTTGACAGTCAAACAGGAGATTTCTGTATAATTCTGGCATGTGTTTTAGTACTTCAGAATTAGCTTGAAATACATTTAGGAAATGTTTTAGGAGCTAACGTGAATTCCTTAGATGAAAAGTAATAATAACTTAAAAATTAATACTCTGAAATGTATATGCTTCCCTTTATCATGTTAGTTTTCCGTGTCATATAATTAACTAAAACACTAAAGGTTACTCCAGTGAATTCTGTTACGAGAACTTTCAAATGCTGTGAGACAGCAGAGAAATCTTAGTTTCCAAAGTGCTGCCGTGGTCAAGTGCATCGCAAGTGTTGACCTGGAGCTAGTCAGGGTCGGACCCGGGTTGCCGGCGGGACTGGCCGTGCGCTGCTCTGTGGCGGGTGGAGAACACCCCTTCCTGCACTGACCAGCCCTCCGCTCCCCTGCGCAGGTACCAGATCCACACCGGCCTGCAGCACTCGGTCATCCGGCCCTCGCAGCCCAGCTGCCTGCCCCTGGACAGCGCCACCCTGCCCCAGAAGCTGAAGGAGCTGGGCTACTCCACGCACATGGTGGGCAAGTGGCACCTGGGCTTCTACCGAAGAGAGTGCCTGCCCACCAGCAGAGGCTTCGACACCTTCTTCGGCTCCCTCCTGGGAAGCGGCGACTACTACACCCACTACAAATGCGACGGCCCCGGGGTGTGCGGCTACGACCTGTACGAAGGTGACCGAGCGGCCTGGGGCCACGACGGGGGCGTGTACTCTACACACATGTACACGCAGAGGGTGCAGCAACTCCTGGCCTCCCAGGACCCCCGGAAGCCGCTGTTTTTGTACCTCGCCTACCAGGCCGTCCACTCCCCGCTGCAGGCCCCCAGCAGGTACCTGGAGCGCTACAGGTCCATGGCGAACGTGAACAGACGCAGGTACGCCGCCATGCTCTCCTGCCTGGACGAGGCGGTCCGCAACGTGACCTTGGCCCTGAAGGCACACGGCTTCTACAACAACAGCATCCTCATCTACTCCTCCGACAACGGCGGCCAGCCCGCCGCCGGGGGCAACAACTGGCCCCTCAGGGGCAGCAAAGGCACCTACTGGGAAGGGGGCATCCGCGCCGTGGGCTTCGTGCACAGCCCCCTTCTGAAGAACCGGGGGACAGTGTGCAAGGAGCTGGTGCACATCACCGACTGGTACCCCACGCTGGTCGCACTGGCCGAAGGGCAGATCGATGAGGACGGGCACCTGGACGGCTACGACGTCTGGGAGACCCTCAGCGAGGGCTTGCGCTCGCCCCGGGAGGACATCCTGCACAACATCGACCCCATCTACACCAGGGCCAGGCACGGCTCCTGGGCCGCGGGCTACGGGATCTGGGACACGGCCGTCCAGTCCGCCATCAGGGTGCGGCACTGGAAGCTGCTCACCGGGAACCCCGGGTACGGCGACTGGGTGCCCCCTCAGGCCTTCAGCAACCTGGGCCCCGACCGGTGGCACAACGAACGGGTCACCCTGTCCACCGGCAAGAGCGTGTGGCTCTTCAACATCACGGCCGACCCCTACGAGAGAGTGGACCTCTCCAGCAGGTACCCCGGCGTGGTGAGGCAGCTGCTCCGCCGGCTGTCCCGCTTCAACAGGACTGCGGTGCCCGTCTGGTACCCGCCCGGAGACCCCAGGAGCAACCCTCAGCTCAACGGGGGAGTCTGGGGGCCCTGGTACAAAGAGGAAGGCAAGAGAAAGAAGCCGCGCAAGCACGAGGCCCAGGGGAAGCAGAAGAAAAGGAAGAGCAAGAGCAGACCGCAGGACGCAGGTGCGGGCCCCCAGTGTGGTCGAGGGGCTCCCCGGGGGTGACGCCAGCGTCCGGCCGCTGCGCCACGTGATCAGGCCTCAGTCTGTCACCTGTTTGCCACCCAAACGGCAAGTGTGGCTCCACTCGCCCCCTGCCCCTGCCCACGTGGGCCACCCGGCCGCCACCTGGGAGCCCTCTGTTCCCGCAGCCGCCCTCCGGGGAGGTCGGCTTCCCTCGCCCTTCACAGCAGGCATCACGGAGGTCAACCTCAGAGGGTCGAACTTGGTCGGTCGGGGACCGAGGTCCCAGGGCCCCTCACCTGCCCGCAGTGGCCATGCTCACCGGCAGCAGCGCTGGGGCGGCCTGAACGAAAACTGCCTCTGAGGACAGTCAAAGGTGGGCTCGCCTAAAGCCTCAGGAAACACGTGCTCCCAGTGTGTGCTGACCACTCTCCTCTCCAGAACGCCGGCGGACTCTCCTGGGGCGCAGCCTGCCGCACGCGGGAGGGACCAGCCCGGGAGAAAGTCTCTACGCAGCCAAGGCACAAATGTCATTGTTTGCTAAACACCCTCCTAGAAGACGATTCAGCACAAACCACGTAATTTATTTTTACAGAAAATAGACTAATGATTCTGTTTTTATAAAATGCTATACAAGTGATTTTAATTATTTTTATTTTCTACATACCATTAGAAGAATTTCATTTCATATCTTCAAGATTACCAAGCACTGTGATACTGTAAATTACTGTTACACTGTGTGAATTTATAGAATCTAAAAAGAAAATTATGCTGGAAAATGGTAATTATTGCTGTTCAATCATTATTTTGAATGTAGTAAGATGAATGTACTCCATACAGATTACTGGGGAATTCTGCATTTGAACAGTGTTGAGAGACACCTTTATTGTTTCTAACATAAACATCTTATTTATGTATCTTAATTATCAAAATGATTTATTTTATGGCACCAGCAAATTCACTGTGGCTTTTCTGATCTAACTTCAAGATAATACATTATTCATCTTAACAAATAAAAGTCTTTACAATTAGGCAACTGGGGTTGATTTGCTAACAACACAGTAACATGGACTTTTACAAGTAGGTATTTCCACGGGGCTACTGAATGGGGAAAAACGTTCTCGTGAATAAAACATTTATGATGACCTGCCCTTCCACACAGGGACACAGGAGGGAGACAACTGGACTAGTTCAGATCCAGTGTGACCAGCACCGCAAACTCCAGGACGAGGGTCCGAGCAGCGAGGTCTGTGGTGGAGGGTGGGCAGCGCCCTCCTCTGAGGGACCCTCTCCTGACACACAGGCCGCTGGAAAGATCACGAGAGCCACACACATGGCACTGAAGTGGCGGCGGCTGAAGTGCACAGGGTGGGCGGATGCCGACCGTCAGACACACAGAGACCAGACCACCCAGGGTGTTCCCCACGGTTTACACAGACCAACGGAGGGTCCGTAACCGTTACTGAGCTACTTTGAATTCAAATGAACCAAATGATTAAAATTTTCACTTTAAACACTTCTTTTACAATGCACATTTCCATTCCACCGTATAGGACGCAGTGTGCTTTCCTGAGATTGTCTTTGCCAACTGCAGGTTTGAGTGCATCTGAACAACCAGAGGCGGGTTCTCGGTGCTCACTGTCCGGAACCGCGGCACAGGGACTGGCGGGGGACTCTCGGTGAAGGGTGTCTTACCGTTCAGGCTGTCTCGTTACAAGAGTTCTGAGGGATACAAGCTCAGGAAATGTTGGGTTAAACAAAGTGGAAGAGGTGGCTTTAAAGCAGATTTCCTTTTGATTTTAAAATCCTAGTTTTCCCTTCAAATCTCTAGTAGAGGGAACTTTTTATTGTCTTTCTACCTTATTTCAGCACAAAACCCTTGTCTATAGCACATTGCACAGGACAAGGCAGAATGTAAAACAGACTCTGAAAGTTGCTAGTTAAATACAAAACCTTCTAGAAATCCCTAGCAAGACAAAAAAAAGGAGCAAAGAGGCAAATTAGGACGATGAAAATTAACTCACGTGTGAACCCAGGGGGTCTGATGTAACGTGGTAGGATTTTACGTTCTTCATCAATGGCTGTAACTCTGTCAATGAAAACAAAGGGACTCACACTTTTCTATCTGGAGACACATGTTGTTCACCGTTTGAAGAGTAGCAGCTGCCTATGCGTGCAGGGGGTTAAGAGGAATGTGTGCCTTGCCCTTCAGTGGGGAAAATCTACTAAGTCATCGTGTGCAAACGATGAACAAAAGCGTTTCCACAGCTGGGCGTCACAGGGTGTCCGGGAGGAAAACGCCCTAATCAGTGAGCACTGTCACGATCGGGCTCCAGTTCCCGGGGGTCACCCTCCTGACCGCGGTCCTCAGCTGCGTGTCCAGAGCCACCCGGGGCGCCCTTCTGTGGAAACGTCACTCCTGCATCCCTGACCCTCCGGTGGTCACAGAAGAAACCCCACGGCTGAACAAGCACCACAGTGGCTTGGCCAGAAAATAATCTGTAAACACGGTTTGATGTCTTGGAGGAGAAAGAACATATGTGTTATTGAATGGAAAACAGACAGAACTCCTGGTGCCCCGAGGCCGTGAGAGCAGCCGCAGCAGCCGCCGGGCCCACCCCCGGAGTCAGCCCCCCTCTTCCTACGCACTCCTTCCTCACTCTCCAAACACGGGGGGCTGTTACAGCCTCGCGGGCCGGGCCTTTTGTAAAAATCTTAAGTATGAAGGACACACCATGCCGCCAACAGCTGAACGAGCGCACAGCTGACAGGTCTGCCCTTGATGCTGGGGTACGGGAATCTGGCACCAGGATCTAGGCCTTCCGCGTTCTGTGCACGGGGGTCTCGAGCACACAGATCGTGAGTTCGTTGGTAGTGATCGGCACATGTGCTGCTGGCAGGAACAGCCTCCGCTCACCAAAAGTAGCAAGCAAACCTCTTAGGTCATAAATGGATGACTCCATTGTTTCCTTTCGTGAATGACTGTGACTTCATCCAACAGATAGTTATTATTAAATGCTACTGCGGTTGTGGGTGCTTGTGACACACTGGGGAACAAAACGCAGGTCATGCGGTGGCCAGGTCAGGCAGCTGTGACTAACAAACGCGACCACTGAGGACCAGCGGACCGGGCTAAGGGCAGTGCCGAGTCAGCGCTCAGTCGGGGTATCCATGCACCGCTTGTGACGTTCCAGGAGGAACCACAGCCAGTGGCTGCGGTGACAGAACATGGGACAGGCCCCCCCCCCCAGGTCGCTGCATTCTCCTGGGAGACACAGCCATAAATCACACGACCACACACCCCCTCTCCCCCCTTCTTCCCTGCCTGGTCTCCCTCCGTAGTACTTATGCCCTGTTAAGATTCCACGTTCCGTGCTCTGCTTACGTGTGTTTGTCCCCTCCCACCAGAGTCCGTGCTTCGTAGAAAAGTGACTTACTCGGCTCTGTTTAGACGTCTGTTAACAAGAACAGGTAAAACAATGCCCAGCTCGTCATCAGCATCCAATATTTATTTTCTGAATGAATACGTAAAATAATCACATATGTCCTTGTGTTCACCCGCATTTTCTTGGGTCTCTACTTCCCATTTCCTGTGCAGGGATTTCACTGTTGAAAAGAGAACTAACCATTCTTGTACCTTTCCTCATAATAATAGCAATGGTGCGAAATACAGAAATGTCTAGCACATAAAAAACAACTCTAATGCGTGTTTAAATGAACAATATGTTACAGCAATGCCAAGCAAAAACCATGCTAAACTGAGAACAAATTTTACTGTATTACCTAGCAGAGTAAAACAATTATTCTAATACTACTTTGAATATTACAGAACACATTCAATGAGAGTTTCCAGAAAAGAGAGGAAAGCTTGAATCGTGAGTAATTTTTGCAGCAAGCTGTGAAGAGAAAAAATAAGGCAAATTCGCCACTGTGTTGCTGTGGAGTAATGAGGCCCACGACTGCACCTCGCAGTGCAGCCTGTTATCACAAATCTCCCCAGCGTGGCAGAGCAGGACACCTCTTCTTGACGGATGTGTCCCCCTGGCCTCGGCATCTCCGTGAAGCCTGTGGCCTCGGGTGATGGCGGGGCAGCGGCTGAGCTCAGGACACGCGGACGTCCCCAGGAGTCAGGGGATGTGTCTGTGCTTCCGCGTCTTTTTACTCGTGTCTGTGATTTGAGCTCTGCTTCCTCAAGCTTCCCACAATCCTATGACAGGCTTTGTCAAGTGGCTGAGGCAGTTTTGGATAAAATCAATCCTAACAAATGAAAAAGAGTAAGAGAACAAAAGGCCCATCGGAATGCTGGTGTGTTCACTCTAGAAATTTTTCAGTGGAGAATCACTAGCGGGCAGCATCTAGCTCACAAGTCAAATGAAAGTGAAATTTGGCTTTCATAATAAAAGTCCCAACACCATTCTCAGTAGGACTTACATTAATCTCCCTGGACACAGCACTGCCAGAATCACAGCTCCTCCAGCCTCCCCGGTTCTGAGTGGCGGGGAATGCTTTCAACCGACGTCCTAAATCTGAACGACTCTGAGGAAGAACTGTTTTATCACTCAAGTTACAAAGACACCTGGTTACATCACCAGAACCCCCCCCCAGGCTCCTTTCCTCCGAGTCACGGGGGACCTCCTCAGCCCCGGAGTCCCCTTCTGACTCTAACACACGCTTCTCTGTGGTCAGGCCACCTGACCGGAATGACAGATCTCTGTGGCCCCGAGGAAGCGGGGATCGCAAGCATCGACATCCACACTAATTTCTACTACACATCTAACTTCACTGCCGCACACGCAGGGGCTCAGGACACGTCCCCCAACACGTGCGGCCTTGGCCCTGGCCGCGGCCCGGGGAGCACAGCGGCTACAAGCCAGCCCGTGGCACAGACCAGCGGGGCTGCGCTTCCTGCTGGCTCAAGTGGAAGAGCGGTGCCCGCTCCCCACAGTGCTCCTCACATGCTCAGAAACAGTGCCATGGTAGAGCCACTTCAATTCTACCACTTTATTCCTTAAAGCAGAACAAATATACCCCAAGTATTCCTGAAGAAAGACTCTGGCATGTCCATGTCATGTAAAAGGTCTCGTGAGCGTAACGGACCTTTTTGTTACTGCCTTTAATGATGGATAATTCACACTCAGACTACGGGGTCTCCCTCCGTTTGCTCTGATGGAGGAATCCCCCCCCATCGTAGCTACGTGGGGCTGGGAGCAGGGGACCCACGGAGGGAGCATTCGACCCCTCAGGTCTGGCGTCCCTGTGCCCAGTACAGAGGCCCCGGGGAGGTAAAGGAAGTCAGTGCAGAATTGTCCGCCCAACATCGCCCACCAGAGGGCGCACAGGCAGTCAAAAAGAACACAGGCGGCAAGGAAGGTGGGCGGTTCAAGGAAAGCTTCTCCCCAGGCTTCAGCAGCATGAAAAGAACATTTCCTAAGTGGCACCAGCCCTCTGTCACAGCAACAGACTGTCATAAGAAAGCACAGATCATCTTGAGCAGTGGCTCTGTAGCTATACTAATATTTTGAGTCAGGCCTTTCATCACCATGAATCATGAAGAAAATAGGAATCAAAACCTTTGCTTCATATATTAGTGGTCAAACGCATACATAACGCATGTTTTAATTATCTTTCCCTTTGCACAGTGAATGCAAGCAGGATTTTTTTAAAGCCCCTAATTTTACAGGGTGTGGCCTCATTTAATGGCAGCCCATGTGACTAGGAGAGAAGTAGTTGCCGAAAGATGGCAAAGTTCACGCAAACGGAAGAGAAGTTGAAGCATCCCCAGGGCCTGGGGCCAGAGCCTGTCCCCGGGTGCCCTCTCAGGCATCTCCTGCACGGGAGGGACCGCAGGGCTCGGAGCCGGCTCACACAGACCTGCGCCCCAGAACGCACGGGGACCGCAGTGCGGTTTACAGGCCAACACTGGAAGTGTCCCCAACGGGACGTGTTCCTGCATCCCCTTTTCTCCCACAGTGTCCCAAAGCTTCTAGTTGGGTCTTCACCTCTGTCACTCGGTAAAGGTGACCATTCTGTTATGAAACGTAATCATTTCAGAGTCCTGCCAGCTGCTGGCATCCTGTACAGATCTGTCAACATCTGCAAACTCTTCTGCAACATACACACACACGTATACACAGAGTTCATGATACATAGGTACACAAAGGGTGCTAGCAAATGCTATATATGTGCTCATGTATTTAGTCGTGTATTTAAACACGTAGGTGCTTCTGCATTTATGTGGGGGCCACGTAAGTGGCTCACAGGCATGTAATACTGCGGCCAGGCTCCACTCCAGGCCCTTCCGCGGGCTCACTAATTCTCCCAACAGCGCTGTGCAGCAGTGCTGCTGCCGCCCCCACTCTGGTGAAGTGAAAACTGAGGGACGGCCCACGTCACACACACTGTGGGTGGTGGGCAGGGTTAAGCCCGGATGGTCCAGGCTCAACAACACTCCTCACTCCTTTCAG